GAGGGCGCGCGGGTGCAACCTACCAGCGCTAGCCCGCCATTCTACCTGTCATTCATTTTAGAGTCAGATTTTCATAAAGAGTTTAGGGTAAGTTCAGTAAATGAACTAGAGGGTGGGATGGGATTGAAAATCTCTTCGGATGCAGCGACTCGTATAATTACGGTCAAACTTCACTTCAGGTAAGTTTGTTTAACCTTCAATTATACTTCGTCGCTGCATCCTCGAGATTTTCATATTTATATTCACCATGTAGATGTTTAGAGCTTTAGGAAAATCACTACATGAAATTCTAAGAGAGAAAAAAAAAACATATTTTCTACAGAAACTCATCTTTATTCGGATCCTTGCATCCTTATTTCTTCATCATTATGATTTAATATAGCATTAGAGAAAGCATAATCATTCGTTTGGATGGGGCGGTTATAAAATTTTCCAAAAATCAACGAGTTCCCTGACCAGCCAGCTGTTTTCCTAATTATTTCAAGAGGAATTCCTTTTCGATTAGCTGATGATGTTGCCGCGTGGCGAGCGCTGTGCGCAGAGTATATATCTGTGTCAACGCCACTTTCCTGCAATGACTGTTTTATCCAGCGACTGATAGTGGAAGTTGTAGCGTTATGATAAGGTTTCTTAATTGTCAAAATCAATTTGTCTGTATTAGGGCCCTCCCTGAACAGCTTGGTTTTTTCCATATAATCTATTAGAGTACGCACTGGACATACCTGTACTTTATTATTAAAATAAGGGATTAGGCGCGGTTGTTGCCGTCCCGGGGCAGACGTTTTAATAATGTCGTCTATCACGATATCAGTACCGGTATTAGTTATTTTGATATTGCATACTTTTATTACTGACAGTGTCTGAACTCGTTGTGCAGTCGACAATGCGAGTAGAACTACCAGTTTTTTGGTAATAGTTGACAAAGATAGACTTTCGTTTGGGTACCATTTACTAATAAAATCTAACACAATGTTAGTATCCCATGTGAATTGATATTTTGGGAAACAGGGACGGGTTTTGAATATGCCTTTCAATAATCTACTGACATTTACATCTGAACTAAATTTTTTACCTAATATGAGTGAAAGTGCTGAGCGAATCGTGTTTATCATAGAATAACTAGACCCAGCATTGAACTGTTCAGTGAGGAAGTTAAGAGCTATTGGATTAGTCATGGTAAAACAATCATTGATATTATTTCTTTGACAAAATTCCCATAATTTTTTGTATGCTGAGTCATATTGCTTCAGTGTGCTATTGGAAAGGGATGCCATCATAACCTTGATTGTATCTTGAGTCAGGAGTTGCCGAGAAAACGCTTCCCTGATAAGTGGCATGACACCAGGGTAAGGCTTTGCCACAGCGGATGGGGACTCCTGGAAGGAGAACGTAACAAGTATTTGTCGGGTGAAAAATAAATTGGATTTGACGTCTGTAATTCTAGAAATAACGGAAACCATGCTTGGCCGGGCCAGTAAGGTACAACTATAATTCCAGAAGCCTGGTCGTCTATAATTTTTCGTAAACACTTTAAAATAAGTGAAAAAGGGGGAAAACAATAGAAGAAATAATTTTTCCAGTTTAAGGTAAAAGCATCAATATTATAAGCGTTTGGATCTCTTTTCCAGGACACATATATCGAGCATTTCGCATTAAGGCGGGAAGCAAACAAATCTATCTCAGGAGAACCGAGCGATTGGGTAATTTCTTTGAATGCTGTATCAGACAGATCCCATTCTGTGTCAATGTTAGTACGCCTTGATTCACTATCTGCTTCTACGTTATCTTTAGATTTTATATAGGATGCGAAAATAAAGATTTGATGTTCTTCACACCACTGCCAAATTTGGCGGGTTATCATATTTAAGTGCTCAAACTGAACGCCCCCCATTCTATTTATATATGCAATCGCGGTCATATTGTCGATCCTTAAAAGAATTTCTTTATTATAAAGGTTTTTTGCAAAACATTTCAGCCCTATGAAAGCTGCTCTTAATTCTAATGAATTTATGTGCTCTTTTCGTTCTGTTGTATTCCAAAAACCATTAGATTTTTCTCCTTTGCAAGCTATGCCCCAACCAGTAAGTGATGCGTCGGAAAAAATCTCAAGAGCATATTGGTTGGTGCGTAATGGTTTAATAGATTCCATGACGTGGGTTTTCCACCAAGAAAAACTTAGTTCTAAATTAGCTTTCAATTTCATTGGTTTATCATAATCACCATTTTCACGCAAAAGAGCCAGATATTTCTCCCTTTCAAATTGTTTTGTGTAAAGCCAACCATAATCTATGGCTGGACAGGCTGACGTTAACAAGCCTAGAAATTTCGCAAAGTCTCTAATGAGTATGGAAGGTTTTTGAGAAATATCGTTAAGTAAATAAAAAATTTTTTGACGTTTAGATAGGGGAAGTTTCAAAGCCATTTTTATTGTATCTATTTCAAAACCTAAGAAAGTTTTTTCCTGACTAGGTTTGATATCACTTTTGGCGTAATTTATCATAAAACCTAAATTTTCCAAAAGTATTATAACTTCATTTACTTTTTCGGCACAACCTTTATAGGAACTGTCTATGCATAGTAAATCGTCTAAATATATGACTAACAAATGACCGCGATTTCTAAGGTAAGTAACGACTGGTCTCATGAGTTTTGTAAAAACAAAAGGAGCTGAACTTAAACCAAACGGTAAACATTGAAATTCATATGTCTGATTTTGGAATCAAATTCTTAAATACTTTTTACTGGAAGGATGAATCGGAACAAAGAAGTACGCTTCCTTTAAATCTATATTAGCTAAGTAATGGTTTTTAGATACTAATTTTGAAGCGGTTCTAATGTCTTCCATTTTAAAATGATGAGTAACAACAAACTTATTGAGTTTTTTTAGGTTGAGTATGAATCTAAATGTGCCGTCGCTTTTCGGAGTAAGAAAAATATTTGAAATGAATTGGCCGGGCACATCTTCACACTTTACAATTGCTCCTGATAGCACCAACTTTTTAATTTCGATAATAATATGACAAATCTCTGCAGGAGAGAAAGAGGGTTCCACTGGCTCAAATGTTTGGATTACAGGGCCTTTGAACGGGATTTTGTATCCACCTATATAACTAAGAACGACTGGATCCCTAGTGATAGACTGCCATGCGATAAAAAAGTATTTTAACCTACCAGCATAAGAGTTTACCTCTACGGCTGGTGATGCGGCTTGCTGCTGGTCGCTTTGGGCGGAGCTTTGTAACGGTCCGGTGCCGGTGGTAGTCGCCTGGGTGGATGCGATGAGGCTTGATATCTCGGCCCTCCCCGTTTGCCTCGTGGGACTTGACCTCTGGGTGGGCCTCTTGAGTTTCCCGGGCGCGTTACGGGAACATTAGAACGATATGACGTTGATGGCTGTGGGTCGAATAATCTTTTGATTTGTAAGCCCGATCGCTCAGCAGTCTGGTTTGCTTTGATTTTTTCACCTAAGTTTTCACCGAATAGAAAGGAATCTCTTTTTACGCCTTGCACTATATTCAAGAACTTTTTATCTAGGCTAAATGTTATTAACTTCCTTCTCGCCGCAGTGTTTTGGCAATGCAAATCTAATAGCAGTTGTCCTACTTCCGACAGTTTTTTTTATTACTTCATTTTTCTCCATCTCCCTTTCGATTAGAGTTGACATCAGATTTGTGATGGCTGCAATGCCCTGACCAAGATGATTTTGAGCCTTTTCAAGGCGGCTATCTCTTTTTTTTGTAGATTCTAATAATACGGAAGCGATCTCTTGATTAAGTACAGGAGCTTTAAGCAGTTTAAAGTTTTCAGGCAAAAGAATACTTTCTGTTAATTTTTGAATAGATTCTTTACTTAACCCGTCGATTATTATTTTTTCCCAACGTTCAGATATTTCCTCCCTAATCTTTGGAGCAAAAATTTCAGTTTTTGTTTTTGGCTGACCCAAAGCTTCTAAAATATCCATCGGTAATGAGGGTATTTGAGGCAAAATGTCACAGTTACTATTGGGTTGGGTTGCCAGATCGCTTTTCTCTTTGTTAGTTTCTTGCACCTCGATATCAGGCTCTACTAGAGGAGTTGATATAATTGGTTGAATTTCGTGATTAGATAAGTTATCAGATTCGTATTCTGCAATAAGGACAATAACCCACTTTTAGGTAATAAAAAAACAACCAATCATAGTAAGTGTTTGTCGTTGTCGTTTGTAGTAAGACGGTCACAATCGCATCGCAACTCTTATGTAATTTTGACCACAATCGCATCGTGGTTCTGTATTTATATATATATGTTGTATATAGCTATACGGTCGTAATCACATCACGACTCAGCATAATGGTGCTAAGGAGAAAGGGTAACATAACAAAAAAACAACCATGTTAATGGTTGCTGTCGAAGTCCACAATCGCATCGTGGAACATACTTTTAAGTTATTTATTTAATTAGTAACATTTGGTTACAGTTCGAATCCAGAATAACCACACAGAATAACCATTATATCTATATAAACTCGTAAAATATCACATTCAATAATTAAAATAGATAAACACACGGAATTGCCTTCTACATACAAGGAGAATACTTTCACGGATTTGAACCGCGTCATAGACAATAAATTTCGCAACGATGATAAGAGAAAAAAATAAAAAAATAAATATAGAAAAAACGGGGGTAGATAAATGTTAAGACTGATTTCTTACTTACTCGTTATTTGTAGTAAACTATTCGTAATTTAAACTTTGATCATAAACTCTTATAATATAGGTACTTACCATAACCCGCATAATCATCACTACTATCATTTTGTTCCAAACGACGTTCCAATCGTCGTATTTTCCTGCGTATTTTTTCCGGATCTTTTGATTTATGCTTACGTTTGCCCATTTTGAGTTAAAACAAATATCACTGTTCATAAAATATAAACTTATTTCACTTTAACTTATATTAAATTAAACAGTTGTTTCGATGCCCGAACACTTGAAGTGAATGACAGGTAGAATGGCGGGCTAGCGCTGGTAGGTTGCACCCGCGCGCCCTCTTACGTCGAGAAATGGATTTCTTAGTCAAATGTTGCCTCTTTTTAAATAATATTCTATTTTTAGCTCTAAAAATGTGTTCGATGCCTAGTACATTTAGGAGTGGACTACATGGTGAATATAAATATGAAAATCTCGAGGATGCAGCGACGAAGTATAATTCAAACGTTTCTACTCATTAAATAATTGGTTAAATGCACAACTTACCCAGTACGGGATTATATTTTTTCACTACACTTCTAAGTGTTTCTTATATTTATTTAAACTTTTTTTTTATATATTTATTTAAAATAAGAATCGTCAGTCGAAGACTTAGTAAAAATCGAACAGACTTTATATTTTGAAAAGCGTTACACAGCTGTTTTCAAACAAGATTCATTTGTAAGTGTGGCTCGCAACAGGCACGAGCGGCTGGCCGCCGCCGGCCGCCGCGCGGTCGACTTGTTATCGTTTTTTATGCTACCCACGCCCGCGCCAACATCGCTGTATATATATATTACATCTGCGTGCGATCTGTTTGTTTGTAATATTTAATTTGTATATAGTTAGGTTTTAAGTAATTTTTTTTTAACGTATAATTATTTATTCTTTAGTAGTTATTAAGTTTTCATTAACAATTAACATAGTTTTAAGATTATTATTTATTTTAATTTATTTGCAGTTTGTAAATAATGACAAACAATTTATAATTAATACGGAGACACGTAAACATTAATTTACTGTTTTATCATTAAATAGAACAACGTTACAGTTATTTTCACTTACAATATTTGGAAATTGACTAGCTAGATGTGCTATGGAAGTGAACTCTTGATATACAACATTTTGTGGAAACAAAAACTGTAAATCTTTGAAGAGGGTGTTTAGTGGCAACCGGGATTTTAACTGACTGGAAAGTTCAATCAAAAATGATTGAAATCGTTCAAGGAATGTTTTTATTCCTGCTTTCAGATTCGTGTCACTTGCAAGATGACTGATTTCTTTTGCCACGTTTACACCTAAGTAAATGTCCTTCAAAGGTAAAAAGTTAACGGTGGATGTCGGATCAAGAATAAGTGGGTCTGTGCTCCTTACGTAGCTTGCTTTCATGTAACAACTTATTAATGTCACAAGCATTTGAGAGATGTCTTTGTAAACTAAGTGTACATTTGCATAATCCCCTTGGAATATTGTGTTTAATTTATTGACTATCGGTAGGATATAGTCTAGTGCATAGAAATATAATTTCAATATTTTGTCATTAAAACTGTCGTACAAAAATTGGGAGGACATATTTTTGTCATCCAAATATTGACCTTGAAAATAAACTTTCAGAGCATCCCACTGCTCAAGAGTTCTGTTTATACATGAGTGCAATGAAAGCCAGCGAATGTCGTAATGTTGTAGAATTTTGTGTTGCTCTGTCTTCGTAAACTCTTGGAACTCCAAAAATTCTCTTTGTCTTTTGCTGCTATGTGCGAAGTAAACGTAAACTTCTTTCACAACTTGATTAATGGCTCTTGGTAATGTGTCTTTGCTTGCGTAACTCACCGATAAAGCAGTGGAATGACAGATACACTTAATAAACAAGCAATGTGGATTACGATCCCTAATTTTAGCGATTATACCACCATGTTCACCAAACATGACATTCGTAGTATCTGCCCCGAAACCAATTACATCCTTAACATCAAGATTTATGTCGCCTAAAGCTTTTGACAGAGCATCAAACAAATTTTGTGCCGTTTCTCCCTCTAAATCTACCGTAGCTAAGAACTTAGTTTTTAACGTTGATGATTTTTCAGAAAAGTATTTAGTAACGATTGCAAGCATTTTTGTGGACGATACATCTGTACTCTCATCTATTATCAAAGAAAACATTGGTGAACCTGTACTAATATTTTGACAAGATCTCAAATCTGCATGCATCTCCTTCTCCAATTCCGGCTTCAGAACATTATATGTTAAGACTGCTGCTTTCGTTCTTTTGCATGAGTAAGCCTTCGCAACCTCCGGATCGGAAAAGCACTTGTTGATTATTTCACTCATGTGGTCCATGATCCGAAAAGGCAAGTTATGTTCTGCCAGCAGAGCACACATGTTGAGCTCTGCTTTTTTCACTTCATCTTCTAATGAAGACGATTTAAAAAATTTCGTAACCTAAAAACAAGAAAAAAAATATCAATAGGTGTACTTATGATGATTCCAAAGATCTAAATAAACTTATACATAAAATCTGGTTAAAATAACTTTTAATATAAAATATGGGCCTTCAAGATAGCGACGACGAGGTCGACGATGGAGCTAGAACACAAAGAAGGTGCCTACTTACTCTTGTCTTAAAGGTATTCAAGTCAAAACCCTCATGAAAAACAGAACGTTCAAAAGAGAAGTAGGTAGGTATAAGTTGCATACATCATTATTTAAACCTAGCGTACACATACCCATAGACCACACTCTTAGTTACACTCTGTGTAAGAACTTAGGTAAAAAATATAGTTACCGATGACTGTCCACTGTAACCGATCATATTCTTCTTGTGTTTTCCAGTATTTGCATGTTCTTTTATAACAGACAACCTAGGCAACACCTTCGAATTACATGCTTTGCAAAATGCCACATCTTCATCTTGTGCTTTTGATAGCCACTTTGAAAGTGTTGGTTCTTGCTCCCACTCTGCTCGATACAGCCGTTCATATTTACGTTTCATCACAAAAACAACAGTTATGCACAATATCTCAAATAAAATATCAAGAAAGATTTTAATTAGCGTGAATGAACCACAATACACGCAACAACGCAAACCAATAGAAACGTACTGCTTAAATAAATAAGCTTTATTTTTGCGTAGCCTAGAAGCGAAACGGACAAATTAGTATTGCTATCGTAAAGAAATAAAAGAATCTGACTTTTTTCTTACCTTCATGGTAATATTTTGCCAAATATAATGTTCAGCGATGTTTCCTGCCAAATCCTGTCAAATTTTGAAAACTTCAAACAAACATGCCACAGACTAAAATTGCGGCCTAAAACTGCCAAAAAGGCAGGATCCTGCCACATATGGCCACACTGTGAGCTGCGCCGGCGCATCGGCCGGTGGCCGAACAGGTTTTTAAGATGCGCGTTTCCAAGGCGGGGCACGTCACCCGTCTGTTATACGTTTTTAACGAAATAAAATGCTTGATGTCTTACAAGTTATCATGTTATGAATTTCGATATTATAGATAAATATAAGTGTGTATATATAGTTAAATAGTTATATTAAGTTTTATTATTAGGTAAATATGTAAATAATTAAATGTAAATAATAATTATAAATGTAATAAAATAAATGTAAATAAATGTAGGAAAGTCACCTACACCACCCCCCTCCAGAGACCGTCAAGGGCGATAAAAGTTTGTAAATCTAACATGACGTCCACTACGCGTTTTTCGCTCCTTTTGTACGTCAGGTTCGGGAACGGGTTCTTCACAATGATCTGATAATATATGTGCCGGTTTCAACCTATCTATCGACACCGTGACATCTTTACCATTAAGTAATATTTTAAATACTTTGTCACCTCTGGTCAATACCTTATGTGGACCGGTGTAAGCTGGAGTCAATGAACCTCGTGATGCATCTTCTCGAAGGAAAACAAAATCACAGGTGCTAAGCTCCTTATAAATAAATACTTTTGGGCTGCTATGCCGTGAAGCAGGTACTGGGCGCAAATTTTTCGCGAAATCTCTAATTCCAGCCGAAAATTCCGACAAGTCGATTGTGCCGGGAACGGTAGGCTCAAAAAATTCGCCGGGCAGTCTTAATGGCTCGCCGTATATTAGTTCGGCAGAAGAAGCCTGTAAGTCTTCTTTGAATGCCGTTCTTATGCCTGATAACACCCACGGTAATGATTCGGTCCATCTGTCATTAGCTTGGCATACTATTGCTGCTTTCAACTGTCGGTGGAAACGTTCTACAAGTCCGTTACATGCTGGATGGTAAGCTGTTGTGCGT